AGGAGTGTTTATAAATTAGTAAAGTCTACTAATGAAGCCAACTATAAAATAAAGTTGATCATCATCGTTATCAACCGAGTTGAAAAATCAAAATCCACTCAACAACCTTGTACGTATTCGGGTGGAGAGGGGATAAGGATACTACAACCTGATTGTTTAAACCTTGGTAAACTAACGGTGTTGAAAGTCAGTTGCCTAAACCTGTGTGGTACAGCTTTACTCCTCATCAATTAGATTCATGGAATCGGGGTTTCTTTTGTCCCAGGATCAAGCTTTACCTCAAGTGTTGTACTCACTAGCATTTCGTCAGCTGGCTCGAAAACAATGTCTATCCAGTGGTCACTGGTTCGAATCCGGCCACGGTCCAAATTTTCATTTCACCTTCAATCATCACTCACTAGTCCACACAACCACAGCTATCTCAAGTAGTCAACAAATGATAATCAATGTGATACTCCGTCTCTCATTCTAATTCCAGTTAGATTTCGATTCGGATGAGAAGTTCTCACTACGCAGCAGCCAGTGTGAGTATAGATCAAGAGATAGTAACGTGTCATGAATTCACATGATAGTCGGGTAAGAAAAGGCTTGATGATTGAAGTGAAATAAAAATCTGGTCAATAGTTAGACCTCGTAGCTCAGTTGGTAGAACATCGGCCGGAAACCCATTGGCGGCTGGTTCGAATCCGGTTGTGGCCTAAATTTTCATTTCACCTTCAATCATCACCCAGTAAGAAAGCATTTGTAAGCGGTTTAGGTCACTTATGTGGAAACTCAAAGCACCTAATGGTTGTGGACAGTGTTTAACTACCTGTTGGGTTATAGTGAACACGTAGAAATGATCAAGCTACAATCGATTGAATCCTTGTGTAGTTGATTAAATATTGACCATTATAACTACCTTATTTGTGAATGTTTTTGGATTGCTTTATAAAGATTAAGAAAATTCATAGTGTTGCTAGATTGAAGTGTGCCTAGTACAGTCTAAATGTTTATCTTTTACACATTTTGGGGGTTTGAGAATTTACGAAAGACTGTCGAACGGCTTAGATTCGTGTTTTGCTCTAGTAGGTTAACGCCTAAAAGCAACTGTCTAGTGTTGTGAAGAAAGTTCGTGTATCAACCAGTGTGTTTTTTGATAACACTAACCTCCATGATATACTTGGCGACGAATTGTGCTTTATTATGCTTTGTTTATAACTAAAAAGTTGGCAGAAGAGGCAACGAAGACGGGAATTCCTTCAGGTGAACGTAGAGAAGACAGAGGTGATGAAGATACCCAACCAACAACAAGCACCAATCACCATGAACGGGAGAAACCTACGGGAAGTTGTATCTTTTACCAACACCTACCTAGGCACCATCGTTTCAAATACAGGCGGCACAGGCACAGATGGCAATGTCAAAGCAGCCAGGATCGGAAAGACAGTAAGACACACCTTCCTGCATTAATCTGAAATCAATCAGTGTGGAGATCTACTACACCGCACTCCACTGCACGCAGCGTAATGCGTGAACAACATCCGGATTTTCAACAATAATTCAGTCAAGTTAATCAGTGCTTCTATATGATGGTTGAGAGACTTGACGCGTTACGGAAAGCATTTCCAGCAAACTACAGACATATATCGCGTGTACAGCTGCCGCCTACGCTTACTCGATACTGAAGATGGAGACCAGATGGCCAGAATAATAAGAATAAGCAAGGAGGAACTCTGGCTGGCTGGCTGGCTGGCCGCCTGGTAACGAACCAACCAACAACATGTCGCCTAACAAATATGCAGTATAAGAAAGTGGAGATGGGTTAGATTGGACATACACTGAGAAAACGGTTTGGGGACATCACGCGCCAGGCCAGGCCCTCGAGCAGAACCTAAAGGGGAAACGAGTTGGACGTCCCAGCTGAGGGTGATATGGAGAAGATGGTGTGAGTAAGAAATGAAAAGTTGCGGGCAGTGGTTGAGCCAGATTAAGAATATTGGAGAGAAAAGAGTGAAATGGAGACGTGCTACTGAAGCCCTATGTTTCACTAGGAACCCAGTGGACAAATAATTATAAAAATGATAATGCTTTGTTTTGGAGGGTCTTATTGGATTTCATTTGAATGGATCTAGTGAATCAGCTACTACCACTGAGGTCTCCACACGGCTTAAAATGTCTTGAAAGTGGTCATAAGTGTCTACTGTTACAGTCTGGAAGTAGAGTTTAGCAGTTGGTACTGCACATTAACTTTTATCATAATCCAACTGACCGTTGAGAAAAGATAAGACTTGTTCGACTGAATGTAATTAGCAAAAACAAAATGATTGTTGAGTGTGCGCTTCAATACTTGTCAGCTATTATTACCATCAATTGTGGTTAGGATCTGAATAAATAAAGGTGAAATGAAAATTTAGGCCACAACCGGATTCGAACCAGCCGCCAATGGGTTTCCGGCCCGATGTTCTACCAACTGAGCTAAAGGTCTAACTATTGACCAGATTTTTATTTCACTTCAATCATCAAGCCTTTTCTTACCCGACTATCATGTGAATTCATGACACGTTACTATCTCTTGATCTATACTCACACTGGCTGCTGCGTAGTAGAACTTCTCATCCGAATCGAAATCTAACTGGAATTAGAATGAGAGACGGAGTATCACATTGATTATCATTTGTTGACTATTTGACATAGCCGTAGTTTGGTAGAAGTGAAATAAAAATCTGGTCAGCAGTTGGACCTCATAGCTAAGTTGGTAGATCATCGAACAGGAAACCCCAGTGGTTCGAATCCAGCTGCGGTGCAAATTTTCATTTCACCTCCAATTATCAACAAGTATGAATACTTGTCTGTCAAACTACAGTTATCTCGGATAGTTTAATGATAAATTATCTCTGTCATTCATAAGTGTCTCGTATACACACTCGGTAAAATTTATTCTGCCTGCATTCTAATTTTTCCCAGCCTTGGATTGGGAATAAAAATTTTTTTTGGAGTGTATTGTTCATCTTAGTGACTGGAAGCCAGCTTGATGCGCGTTTCCTCCTTTTTGAGACTTATCAGATAGATGTACTTGGACCCTAGTGAGTGGTGTTGTTCCCAGTGAGACTCGAGCTCAGGATGCAGTTGGTTCAAACAGCAAGCCACTAAGCCATACTTTCCAACTACACACTTAATTTTAAAAGATGTATTGAAGTGTTTCCTGTGTATAGTGTCTAGAAGGATGATGAATCATATAATTACCACCTCAGTGTTTCATTTATTTACGTGTACACCTTGTACGCCTTCTTTTTGCATGATTTAACTTATTCTGTTAAAACTTATTGTATGAAGTATGCTGATGACCTGACGGTGTCTATTCGAGTTAACTCTCACTTAGATTACTGTGAATTAAATAGATTCTTGTCTGTTGTTGATCAATGGTCTCTGTCAAATGGTGTCAAGTTAAACTCTCCTAAATGTTCGACTGTTAATTTTAGCCTCAGATGTGAAAAAGACTTGAGTGGGTGCTTCAGTCTCATAACGCCTGTTTCAGTAAAGATGGTATTTCTACAGAAAGTGGTGTACCTCTGACTCAACTGATACACATTTAAACTCTAGCAGTCAGCTAGCTACAGTCATTTTATCTGGCACTGAGCATCCACTTCATTCACAGCTCTCTCTCTCTCTCTCCCTCCCTCTCTCTCTCTCCCTATGCCAACAGAGACCGATCAATTCGGTCCAATCAATGACGGTATAATACAAGCAGTAATACTTAAACTATACCCATCGAACAAGAAGTGGCTATCGTGGCTCGGTGGTGTAGTGGATAATAAATACTCTAGCGTTTGAAGTGATCTCTCCTGAGTCCAAGTTCCGGTGGGAACAACATCACTGCTCACTGGGAGGTAGGTACATCCAGTTGACCAGTGAGTCCCAGATAGGACGAAATGCCCATCCTGGATTCCACTGCCCATCATTACTATAAATATAAAACTTTCTCATAATTAATAATCTTCATATAACTCAGATTGTTATAATCCGATATGTTGTAAAGGAGTATACGCATACATATAAATTATGTTGTTGTTATTGGAATATATCCTTCTGAGAATTCCAAATTGTACGAAAAATTGTTTGGAATAAAGGGATTATTATTATTGTCCTACCAGGTGAAGACGCTGACAAAATGATAGGGTCTGCTGAAAGCGTTGAGCAGAAATCTGTGTATATTTGGCATGCATTTCCACTGGCACCTGTCAAATGTAAGATAATGCTCCAGGACTCATTTGCAATGACTCCTAGTTTAGTGATAGAGAGTGAATTGGTGGAATGTGTTGGCAACTTCACTTACTTGGTGAGTTGCATCCACTCGAATGGGTCAGGTTGTTGACGAAATCTCACGAGGGATATAGATGACCGGTTTGGTGTTCACCAACTTGTGTCACTGAATATCTATCAAAGGATGAGTATACTGCGGTGTATTTCGTGCCGTCGTATGTTATGACTGTGAGATGTGGTCGTTGAAAGTAGTAGACGTGAAACAGTTAGGGTTTTTCGAACCACAGGTGTTTTTCATAGCATTGCTGACTACCAGCTACCTTAACATGTCATACTAGGGGAAATTGGATTCAGTTGGCAAAAGGGTTCATGGTGATCAGATGAAGATGTGGAATCAATCAGTAAAATCTCAGACTGTTGATCTGACCTGTTTAAGGAGGTGAGGACCGTTTGAGTTCGTTAGACGAAAGGAATGTTCTTTTTTTGAGGACTTTATGTAAGATGACTGAAAATCGGTGACAATCACACTATTTTTGACATCTTCTAAAGGTTAAATATTTGTACTAACCATTATCTCTAAATCGTTTATTCTTTTACACAACTTTGATATCATTCTTTTTCTATCCATCTGTTATTTGTATACTACTGTGAAGTGTAGCAATTTAAGCTGATGGACTTGTGTTCAGGGTTTGACGTTGATTCTATCTGTCTGTTATAGGATGAAAACAAGAAAGAAGCAAAGAAAAACAAGTACTTACCTAACAGTTTAGCTCGAATTTCACCAACTGATCTTTTAATGTTCTCATTAAGCTCTTCTAATTGTGCTTTAGTTTCTGTTACAATTAAAGTGAAGTGAATATAGGGAACACAGTTAACAAAAAAAATGATACATTAGTATACAGTTTATCATCAAAAACTCTCGTATGAGAAGTTTCAAATCAATGACCCACTGATTGAAAGTCGACTGTTTAGATATATAAGATTAGACAAGAAACCTTAATTGATGATTTATTCATGGAACCAGTGGACTGCGGTTTCGTTCTAATATGGGACTCATAAGCAACGTGAACCTGAGACCATTAAGTTCCACAGCGACCACATTATCATGCAGACATTAAGTCCACTTTTCCTAGTTCTGTCAATTAGCTATATTGAATTTTTGGGGTTTGTGGAGATTTAGAGATATTTTTAAATTGGTTTTCATCATGGACTGACATCAGTTGGAGGAACATTGAAAACTTGGGACCACTGGACAGGTGTTTCGTCCTACTACGGGACTCCTCAGCAATGTGCATCCATCAACCTACCCGCCCTACCACGGATAGAACACAGCACCATCACCTAATATCATCGTTAAGTATCTGTTCTCACAACCACGTTCGCCCCACTGGTCATGACTTCTCATAGGAACTACAGGAATCACCTCTCGAAGATAGTCATCAATGAGCACTAGTTCAATTGAAATTTGGGGGGTTGTGGGGATTCAAAGAGGTGGCGCTATGTGTCATGAACTAACAGAATTTGCAAATATGGGAATGACGGTTAACTACGGATACTTTGAATATGTATCCTATCTATGTATAGAAATGATACTGCATAGCACTTTTATTCTCTTATATTGGTCAAGAAAGTGAACAGAGTCTATCCTTAAGTCATAAAAGAAGAGAAAAGAGAATATCCTTTCTCTATACGAAATACCATTGCTGAAAAACCATTTCAATCTGGTAAAACAATGATTCTCTGTGATTATTCACTTGAAATCTACTCACCAATAAACCAAACAAACAAAGTAGTTTTTTAAGCCTAAAAGGTTGTATTCATCAAAAATAATCCCCTTCAGTTAGTTACTTCAACAGAGATGTGGTTCATTGGTTTAGCGAAACGACTATTAACCAGTGGGTGACGGGTTCGAACCCCGCTGAGCCTACTCAGGTTTACGCAACCAAGTAGTAGTATCCTTAGTCGTCACATAATCGGTATGACTCATTGCCTACTGCATGAATGTGCACAGGGTTGGAGAGTTAATTCAATGATTACCGTCAAATGCTTCCAAGGTTCTATTGTCCATGAGTATGGTTTGTGTTTTGCACCATTGAAGTACTTTTACAAGATTTTCAGTAACCTGTGCCTGTGCTCACCCTTGATGGTAAACCGTTTTGAGTAGTCGAAAAATCCGTGTATCTGAATAGTCAGTTGTATGAGTGCTGGTGGAAGTGTGAATGATGAAATTCCCAACCGCATATCGAAGGCCAGAGTGGCATACTCCAATCTCGACCACCTTGGATGCCATCGTCACGTTAGTTTGTTCATAAAAGATCAGGTTTCGGAGTGAGCAGTTCTGCTCTACACCTCTCAAACCTGGTCTCTTCGAGCTGAGGATGTGCGACGACTCTGGGTGTTTGATCATCTTTGTCTCTATCGGATTCCTTGTCTCCGGTGGCGACACCATGTAAACAATTCTGCGGTGCGATAGTATGTGTTTGGACATAGTTGGAGATTGTCATCCGATAAATGAAGTCATCTGGAAACACCGGTTTCAATGGCTTCGACATGTGTTACGCATGTCATCCCAACGGCTTCCACATCGTTGCTTGCTTGCTTGCTAACCCTGGGACTGGTGATTTATGTGACGCAGACCAGTGAACCATCCACTGAGATTTAAACATGACTGACTGAGAAGGTGAACGATGGGTAATTCATTCGAAAACCTCTCCATCAGCATATATTCCCAAGAATATTGAAATATTTCTTGGCGAAGTTTGCGACTAAATGATTTCAGCATTTGATTGACAACCATCGAATCATAAAAACCGATCTGAACCGCCTTTTCATACTCCAAAGCTAATGCTAATGAACACATCTGACTGACAAAATCAACATGGAACCCCGCACACAAATGCATCGAGTCAAGTTACCACACTTCACTTTTTACCCGACCAATAGCTGCTACCTTGACATGGTGATCGGGCTTGTATATTTACAATGACCCAACGAGCTATGCTAGTAGAACGCTTCTTCCCTCGAGGTCATACCACGCAGGAAAGGTCTGTTGGATAGTAGCAAAAGGGAAACACTATAATGAGGGTCTGAGGGCTAATTCATGCTGCTGCTAGCGGGATGGGATGTGACAGCAGTAAGGTGTTTCCCTTGCATGATCAGCAGTATCCCTTGATGCTGCTTTCCCAACGGAAGAAGAGGGTTAGAAAAGGTCGGCTCCAAAAATAACACACTTCGCCATGCCTCACGGTCTGCCGATGCCGGCGATATGGGTTGTTTTGTCTATCCGGCGTTAGAGCAACAAACTTCGAAACAGCAACCTACAAAGGCTGTATGTGACAAGCCTCAAGCAGGTGTCTCATGGGCCCTACAGTCACACAAATCGTTTTCTCTTTTAAGAAGAAATGCCCTTCCATGGTGTCAGCAGCCAGGAAGTGTCAACCACCCGCATCCTTCCAGTAGTACACAAGACACAATCAAATATAACGTATCCCCCTCAACCGTCTCCGAATTTGCCTTCGACTTACCCAAGTACTGATGAGTGCATACGAATAAAACTCACTATAACAATCCCTATGACAGTGAGATACAATCAGAAAAGGAGGTAGTATCTACAGAAATAACTATCAGAAACTTTACTGACAGAAAAATTCCATAGAGTCATTGTTTTAAAACATGAAAGTATCCAACGAACGAACGAAACGTTCTGAATAACCCTGTACACGTGCGTGCAGTAGATTATGAGCCACGCCTATTGTGTGTGAGGGCTGTTCATCATCATCAATATTAACATAGGACAAGACATTACTGCGTAACGGTCCAAGTCGTCACAGCTCAGTACAGTACATCAAGTAGAAAGGTAGTGAGGTGAAGGATGAAGATAGGAAAATTCAATCAGAAGAAATATAAAGTACGAGAAGACAGAAAGGAGGAATGAGGAAATGGTGAGATTCGGTATAGTGTTGTTAAGATGAGGATAATGTGTGAGGATACATCTGCGCCAATGACATCAACTCTCAGCCATATCCCCTAGAGTCCCCAACCACTGGTTCCTCTTGTCCCGCGGACCCCAACCACCTAGTAGCCTGCATCGTCCCACATGGCTCAAACCAACAGTCAGAGACTTCATACATTGGTACCATGTTTTAGTCTGGCCACCTCGGGCCTTTTTCCAGCCTGGGCCTACTTCGGCCAACAATGTGTGATGGGGCAATCGGTGACTAGGTATACGTAGTACGTGTCCCAACCATCTCAATCGATGAAGGTTCATAACCTCGTCTACTGATTTACCTCTTCTCCCTAAAACTCCATACCTGACATCTGCATTACTCACATGGTGACACCACGGAATACGTCGTATACTAGGAGGGCAACGGTGGTCAAACACCTGAAGCCTTTTTGTATCCTCCACTTTCAATGGCCATGTTTCACAGGCATACAGTAGAACAGAGCGGACTGGTGTGCAGTACACGCTACCCTTAATAGACTAACGGATATCACAGCGGCGCCATTCGTGGCGTAAATTGGCAAAAGCCAATCGAACCTTTTGTTTCCGTGCAGAGATTTCACCACCTAGTTGCCTACGGCATTTGCAGCGCATTATGAACCCATGACCAACTCTACTACTGGATGAATGTTACCTGATTAAACCATTCATGAACCATAGCTTCACTATAACATAACATGCAGTAGAAATATATAACTGAAATAGTGGCATTACAATTATCACTTACTGGGATTTTGTTGAGTTGCTGACAAAATTTCACCATGCTTTGTTTTAACCTGACCAATTTCTATCCGTGTCTTTTCAATCTCTCTACGAATCCATTCAATCTAAAATTTATTATGTTGAATAATATGAATAACAATTACTTCATTGAAAAAGCTAGCCATCTGAGGATTACTCTCCGCTTCAATTGATTCCTCTGTTTCTGGTGGAAGATTTGGTAATTCATTATTCTATTTCACAGGGAAGATATTGATTGGATTATATGTTAAGGGAAAGTGTTTACCTGTCGTAAAACTGCGAATAAATCTTTAGCCATGGTCTGTCTAGTGTATATTTAACGAAAGCCTCAATATTGTGTGATAAGATAGTACTGGTCTATTCTAATCAATCATAGAAGCGGAAACTGTTAAAGCAAAATAATAAAAAACATCTTTAAAATCACTTCATATGGTGGTAATAAAGGTAATTCATTATTATTATTATTATTATTATTATTATTATTATTATTATTATTATTATTATTTATTTGTCCCTTGGGTTCCTAGTGGAACACACGGCTTCAGTAGTACATCTCCAATGCGCTCTCTTCTCTGCTACCTTTTGAATCTAGCTCCACGACAGCCCAGAAGCTCTCATTTCTTCCTCGCACGATCTCCTCCATGTCACCCTCATCAGCCGGGACGCCCAACTAGTCGCTTCCCATCTCGGTTCCACTCGAGCAACTGCCCTGGCACGTGATGTCCCCAGTCGGCCTTCTCCACTTCCTTCTACTGCATATTTGTTGAGTGATAGATTCTTGCTTCGTTGGTTCGTTGCCGGGGTTCCTTGTTGCTTATTCTTATCATTCTGGCCATCTGATCTTCAGTAACGAGCCAGCGTAGGTGGCAGTTGTTGATGAATGTCTGTAGTTTGTTGCGAATCCCTTTCGTAGCGCGCCAAGTCTCTGAGCCATACAGAAGCACTGACTTGATATTGGTGTTGAAAATCCGAATCTTGTTCTTTATGCTGAGTGCAGAAGATCTCTACAATGGTTTCAGGTTAATGAACGCCTATCTTGCTTTTCCAATCCTGGCTGCTGTGACGTCCTCGTCTGTGCCACCTGTAGTTGAAACGATGCTGCCTAGACAGGTGAAAGAGGCTACTTCCTTTAAGTAATTCAACTAAAAGCATGAACATTGAACTGTAAAAAATGGATATAGATAGTTTATTTATGAATCATTATAGTAACTTGTCGCTAGGAACTTGCAATTTTCCGTTGGTATATACAGGGTCGAATTTACTCAACCTCTGTTGTCAAATGGGTACTTGTACGAACGCCTCTATACTTCCCAGACATTCATTATATTATAGTCATCTTGGTGATTAATACTGCAATCCAGGATGCGCGTTTCATCCTAGATCGAATAATCCAACTCTGTATAACAACGGAGAATTAAAAATGTCAGACGGATACCCGTTGCACAAGAGGTGGCTTTCGTTTTCCAATGGCCTAGTGCATAACGCTTTGGCGTTTGAAGTAAAAGGTAGTGGATTAGGAATAACATCATTCATTGGGGTTCAGGTACATCCAGCTGACAAGTCTCAGATAGGACTAAATACGAGTTGTGGATTCCACTCCTAGTCACCAACATGAAAACAACACTAGGCAACCTGCTTAGAAACTATACCACCAGCGAATAGTTTTAAAGCAGTAGATTTCACGCAGAATTAAGCATAAATATTGTGTGATTTATTTCAACACAAACCTCATCACCACTTAGGTATCAAGAAACGTAAAAGTAGTGAAACAGTAGTGACTACCGAAAGGATGGGCAAAGGATATCGAGCACTCAGACATATTACATAAATTGTATTTGGTTTTGGTTTGGTTACTCTGCTATTGATCATTTTGACTATCTGAAATAGCCATGGTTTGGCAGACTACCAATTTGGACGCTGTAGCTCAGTTGGTAGAGCATCAGGCCGGAAAACCGGTGGTCACTGGTCTGAATTTTCATTTCACCTTCAATCATCGCCCAGTATAAGCACTTCACTATGTGTTCGATTATGACACATGATCGCGGTACGATTAGCATTGGCTTCCAAGTCATACTTTATAACGCCCTAACTTCTTAGTCATGTTTACTCGATGACACTAACATATTGTAAAACGAGATCGAATCACATTTTCACGATATCACAACTTAAAGTAAACATCTTTGCGCTGTTTGTAGCTCTAATAAACAATCTTGGGTCTGGATACCACTTGGATGGGAGGATTAAAGTATGTTCAAGCTATTGGAATCAAAGTTTCCATTTAGCTTATAGAATAATTACAATTAACACAGGTAGAAATCTTTCGCAAATCAGGTACATGGGGCATATCTATACGCTAAAAATGCTACAGTAATGATGTAACTGAACACACAGAGACGCAAGCAACTTCAGTTTGTAAAGACAAAATCTCTCATGAGTAGAGCGGAAATAGGATTGCTGAAAGTGGGCCTGACTTTTTGTAGTCTGACCAATAGTTTCTACTTTGACGTAGTTGCCGTGAGTGAATATCACAATGATCCAATGAGTATTCTTTCCTGAGGTACTCCAACCTAAGAAGGTTGGTTGGATAGTGGCAAGATAAAAATGCACTTATAGTTATAGAGTTTACACTACTACGCTACGACGGCAGAGTCCAAGGGTGAAGTCGTACTACTGGCTGGACGGCATATGACATTAGTAATGTGTTTTGCCCGGAGAAAACCAGTAGTCTATCCCGATTTGGCCTTGCATATGGGTAAGGGAGAAGTTAGAAAAAGTCAGCCTTTATAATAGCACACCTCCACCTATCCAGTGGTCTTCCAGTTTTCTAGCTGGACTCCACACAATCGAAGTTCAATCTCCAACTTCCAAAATAACCGTATGATTGGTCTCAAGTAGATATCCCTTGGGCTCAGCAGTCACGCAAGACTAATATGGTATACCTTTCAGGCGTCTTAAGCAGAATTTAACTTAGCCGTATGGGCAGCTAAGAAATGCCAACCGTTGATACAATTCTGCTAGTTAAATAAACCGACGTCACCTATGATTTCTTCCAGTTCTGGAGCCACTGATAACGATTCAAATTCATCGGACAGCATCAATACTCATATCAAACCATGACACAAATTATATATCGCAGCTTCCAATACTCGCATTTTCCATCAAATCAAACAAGCTCCTTAGTTAAAACTCTGTAATCTCGAGTCATGACGAAAAAACACAATAGCATAGGACCTGAAGTTACTGCTTAACAGTCCAAGTTGTCTCATATACAGAAAAGTCTACATTCCCCTACATGGCTTAGACCAACAGTCAAGGATTTCACGCAGTGATGCCATGTTTGATTCTGGTCACTTACTAATCTTTCCCAGCCTGAACCTACTTCAGCTAAGATTCTGAGACGGCATAGATGGCAACTAGGCATGCGCAACGTGTCCCAGCCACCTCAGACGATGGAGGTTCACAACCTTATAGAGTGACTTTTCTCTCTCCCCCCCCCTAAAACTCAACAACTGGTGTCCGCGTTACTGTCGTGCTGATGCCACAACACACGACCTATGTCTCGAAGGCAATGGTGATCAAATACCTGAAGCCTCTTGAAGTCATCTCCCTTTACTAGCTATATTTCACAGACACATAATAGGACCGAGCATACTGCAGCGTAGTGAACTCGGCAGTCGGATACTACAATGATGACACAAATGGGGAAAGTTGTCAAAACCCAATCAAGTCATTTGTATTCATGCAAAAATTTTTCCGGTCACTGAGCTACTAGAGTTAACTCAACCTCTAAAGTACGCCTGACTTCATAGGGATTGATCTATTCCTTGGAGGGCATCAGGATAACTTGCAGTACACAGATGATACTGTCCTGGTAGGTGAAGACGATGATAAAATGCAGAGTCTTCTGAAGGCGCTGAACAGAAATCTGAGGATGTTTAGTATGCGTTTTGCACCTGTCAAATGTAGAACAATGCACCAGAACTGGTCTGCAACCACTCCCAGTTTAGTAATAGGGAGTGAAGTAATGGAATTTGTCGGCCACTTCAGTTACTTGGAGAGTCACATCTGCCCGGACGGGTTGGTTGGTGACGAAATCTCAGCTAGGATACAGGAAACTCGTTCGACATTTGCCAACTGACGTCACTTGTGGCGTCGGCGAGATATCCGAATATCTACCAAAGGAAGACTATACTGCATTGTAGTCCGTTTTGTGCTTTTGTACGGCTGTGTGGCCGTTTAGAATAGAAGACATGAAGCGGTTACTGGGTTTTGATCACGTATCTATGTAGCGTTGCTTATGTTCACTGGAATCACCATATAAGCATTGTTGAGGTCAGGCGAAGGGTACTAGGCAAGATAGGCAAGTCGACTGATGAGGTCTCTTGGTGGCATGGCTGAAAATCGGTGACAATGGTCGAGATGCACTCACTCCTTGACATCTTCTAGAGCTCGAGTATTCACATTAGTCTTTTTCCTGGGTTTGATTTCGGTGGACGCCACCTGAGACTAACTCCTCATTGGTGTGATTATCAGAACAAATTTGAGACAGACGACAACCGTTATCGGTTGCTTGGTCTGTGATTCCATAAATACTTCCAAGATGCCCTTCCAACTGGCTTATTTTTCCGGCTTCAGCGTTACAGTCGCATGCTATTATGATTATATCTAAACCTTATGCTCTCTGTTGCAAGATTGACAGCTTTTCAGAAAATTCATCTTTTGAATCATCCAAACTGCAGTCGGTGGATGTATAGACGGAGATTTTAAATAGGCACTGACTAATCTCACGATGCTTTCTAGTGCTTACGGTTCGGATGCTGGAAGCTCCAATATGAAATCGGCAGCATTGTCTCAGGAGACTAAGAATGTTGTACCGATGGCTTGGGTCGTTGGCAATAGTCGCAGAGTGAGAGGATGAAGTTGAAAGCGGTTAAATATTAGTATGAAGTGAATGCAAAGGAGATGTCAGTTAAGGAGAATAGGTTACGTTTGACTGAAGCTTTTGTAACATTGAGTGTTGGCGGTTGATACTTCTGAGCTGCAAACACAGAGAAAGTTGTTTCTGTAGGGGAACCGACTAACTAACAAAATCAACGCAGAACCGCACACAAAAGTGCATCGGCTTCATTTGCCACACTTCATAGTAATACATAAAGAACATGTGGATAGAAAAAGAGTGATATCAAAAAAGATAAAGTAGTGTGACAGAATAAACGACCTGATGAAAAAGGTTGGTGTGAATATTCAAACTTTAGAAGACGTTAAGGAGTGAACATATCTGGACCATTGTCACCGACT